CTTGTCTGTCTGTCCCTGCAGAGCTGGGCACGTAACCACACGTGGTCTGAGCACAAGAGAATCACTAAAGGAGGGGGAAGGCGGCAGTCATCCTGCCTGAGCAAAACAGCTCTGTCCCCGCTGTCTAGGGGAAACCCTGCTCCATCTCCCGCACCGTCCGTGTCTCAATAATGAATGTTTCTGTCCCTTGAAACCCGTGATGGGCTGGGGGTGGGGGTGGGGAAGGCAAAGCCAAAGGGCGGGTTTCTTTCCAGTGCTGCCGAGGTGCGATTTAGCTGGCCAAGAACACAACTTGTGCCGTGCAAAAATCACTGCGGCGACAAAGGTTGACCTGCTGAGTCCAGAAGTCCCCAGTTTTTCTTCCAGCCGCTATCACGGAGTCTGCGGGCTCCCAGCAAACCCTGCCCGCGACGAGGCTGACAGCGAAGGAAATACTAATGAGGGAAGGGGCGAGAAATGTTCTCTCCCTGTGCGGATCGCGGCTTCACCTCTGCCATGGCCTCTGCGGAGCGCGTCTGACCTGTCGCTGCTCCTCGTACACCAGATAATCTTGTTTCCTATACGTGTCGAGGCAGCTGGGCCACCCCGGGGTGGTGGTGTTGGCCCGCCGGCTGGCCCAGGCTCGCTGCAGCGACGCCGAAGGCAAAGCGCCGTACCCACGTCTGGATATTGGCGTCGCTGAGGGCCCTCGACCCGCGGAGGTGGAGCAGAGGCCAAAGGCTGAGCGCTGCGTCCGTACCCTGAGCGCCGCCGCTGTCCCCCCGTAGCAGGGAGGCCGAGGGCCGCTTCACGGGACGATGAATCAAAGGCTTTAAACTTAAGAAAAACTACCTAAACGTCCACTTTTAAGTTACCAAAAGTTAATTATGGTCTAACAGAGCTGTGCCTCTTCCCGACCCGCTCCCGTGCTGCTCCGGCATCAGTCCCAGCGGTACACGTCTCCATCGCCCTGCCCGCGCCGGGGCCAGCGAGGGGCTTGCCGGCAAGCGTGGAGCCAGAGTTTGGGGTCTACGCGTAACCGATTAACATACACAGCTTAAAAACCAGTAGATTTTTAACTTATATCAGTGTATTCATTAAAGGAACAAGAAACACCTGGCAAAACACGAAGGTGGGTGGTGGAAGCTGCTGCTCGCGGCCAGCGCTGCCCGGTGCCCGCCGGCCCCCGCGGCCCGGAGGTGGGTTTTTAGCCAACGGGACCTGTGTGGCTTTCATCTAAGCGTGTGCGTGTGCGGGCTGTATTTTCACAGGTCTGATGCAGAGATTCAATCATGAAGTTTAACCAAGGATCCGGAGAGCATCCTACCTAAAAAGTTCACTTATAGCTATTTATTTTACAAAAATAAATAAATAAAAAAATATATATATTAAAAAAAAACCCCACACAATTGTAATGTGAGAGTAAAATAATTGCAAACAAATAAATGGTTAATAAAAAATAAATGCAGAAACACTGCCCGGTCTGAGGGTCGTTTCCTGCGGGGAGGGGGCGGCGGTGGCTCAGGAGGGAACCCCGTGAGATGGCGGTGATGGGCTGTGCGGTTCGGGGCAGTTTCCCCGTGGCGACACGGCTGGTTCCCCGGGGGGGTCCCGGGCGAAAGACACTTGTTCGAGCCCGGGCGGCCGCTGCCGAGGCTGAGCAGAGACGCAGCGTTTGCGCTGCAGGAGCCTGCGTGTGCGCCCGAGCCTCAAATGCAGCTCTCGAGCGCTGGCTGCGGCAAATGCACCGGAACAGTCAGCGCTGTCCTCGTCCCGAGGGCCTGTGGGGCACTGTCCCCTCTCTGTCCCCTTCCCAGAGTGACCGATGCTGCTATGGTCCTGCTGCGTCCCCACTGAGACGCCAAATCCCCCTCAGCCCCACACGGTCCCATCCCCATGTCAATGGCGCGGGGGGACGGGGACTTCAGGGGGGACAAGGGTGGGTAGGAGGGGCTGTTGGGGCCACCATCAAAGCCACCGAGAGGTGGGTCGTGTCCTGGCTGCCCCTTGGGGTGAAATGGCACCGGGTGTCCGAGGGGCTCAGCATACCAACCCAGTATGGCGCTTACCAACCCAGTATGGCGCTTACCAACCCAGTATGGCGCTTACCAACCCAGTATGGCGCTTACCAACCCAGTATGGCGCTTACCAACCCAGTATGGCGCTTACCAACCCAGTATGGCGCTTACCAACCCAGTATGGCGCTTACCAACCCAGTATGGCGCTTACCAACCCAGTATGGCGCTTACCAACCCAGTATGGCGCTTACCAACCCAGTATGGCGCTTACCAACCCAGTATGGCGCTTACCAACCCAGTATGGCGCTTACCAACCCAGTATGGCGCTTACCAACCCAGTATGGCGCTTACCAACCCAGTATGGCGCTTACCAACCCAGTATGGCGCTTACCAACCCAGTATGGCGCTTACCAACCCAGTATGGCGCTTACCAACCCAGTATGGCGCTTACCAACCCAGTATGGCGCTTACCAACCCAGTATGGCGCTTACCAACCCAGTATGGCGCTTACCAACCCAGTATGGCGCTTACCAACCCAGTATGGCGCTTACCAACCCAGTATGGCGCTTACCAACCCAGTATGGCGCTTACCAACCCAGTATGGCGCTTACCAACCCAGTATGGCGCTTACCAACCCAGTATGGCGCTTACCAACCCAGTATGGCGCTTACCAACCCAGTATGGCGCTTACCAACCCAGTATGGCGCTTACCAACCCAGTATGGCGCTTACCAACCCAGTATGGCGCTTACCAACCCAGTATGGCGCTTACCAACCCAGTATGGCGCTTACCAACCCAGTATGGCGCTTACCAACCCAGTATGGCGCTTACCAACCCAGTATGGCGCTTACCAACCCAGTATGGCGCTTACCAACCCAGTATGGCGCTTACCAACCCAGTATGGCGCTTACCAACCCAGTATGGCGCTTACCAACCCAGTATGGCGCTTACCAACCCAGTATGGCGCTTACCAACCCAGTATGGCGCTTACCAACCCAGTATGGCGCTTACCAACCCAGTATGGCGCTTACCAACCCAGTATGGCGCTTACCAACCCAGTATGGCGCTTACCAACCCAGTATGGCGCTTACCAACCCAGTATGGCGCTTACCAACCCAGTATGGCGCTTACCAACCCAGTATGGCGCTTACCAACCCAGTATGGCGCTTACCAACCCAGTATGGCGCTTACCAACCCAGTATGGCGCTTACCAACCCAGTATGGCGCTTACCAACCCAGTATGGCGCTTACCAACCCAGTATGGCGCTTACCAACCCAGTATGGCGCTTACCAACCCAGTATGGCGCTTACCAACCCAGTATGGCGCTTACCAACCCAGTATGGCGCTTACCAACCCAGTATGGCGCTTACCAACCCAGTATGGCGCTTACCAACCCAGTATGGCGCTTACCAACCCAGTATGGCGCTTACCAACCCAGTATGGCGCTTACCAACCCAGTATGGCGCTTACCAACCCAGTATGGCGCTTACCAACCCAGTATGGCGCTTACCAACCCAGTATGGCGCTTACCAACCCAGTATGGCGCTTACCAACCCAGTATGGCGCTTACCAACCCAGTATGGCGCTTACCAACCCAGTATGGCGCTTACCAACCCAGTATGGCGCTTACCAACCCAGTATGGCGCTTACCAACCCAGTATGGCGCTTACCAACCCAGTATGGCGCTTACCAACCCAGTATGGCGCTTACCAACCCAGTATGGCGCTTACCAACCCAGTATGGCGCTTACCAACCCAGTATGGCGCTTACCAACCCAGTATGGCGCTTACCAACCCAGTATGGCGCTTACCAACCCAGTATGGCGCTTACCAACCCAGTATGGCGCTTACCAACCCAGTATGGCGCTTACCAACCCAGTATGGCGCTTACCAACCCAGTATGGCGCTTACCAACCCAGTATGGCGCTTACCAACCCAGTATGGCGCTTACCAACCCAGTATGGCGCTTACCAACCCAGTATGGCGCTTACCAACCCAGTATGGCGCTTACCAACCCAGTATGGCGCTTACCAACCCAGTATGGCGCTTACCAACCCAGTATGGCGCTTACCAACCCAGTATGGCGCTTACCAACCCAGTATGGCGCTTACCAACCCAGTATGGCGCTTACCAACCCAGTATGGCGCTTACCAACCCAGTATGGCGCTTACCAACCCAGTATGGCGCTTACCAACCCAGTATGGCGCTTACCAACCCAGTATGGCGCTTACCAACCCAGTATGGCGCTTACCAACCCAGTATGGCGCTTACCAACCCAGTATGGCGCTTACCAACCCAGTATGGCGCTTACCAACCCAGTATGGCGCTTACCAACCCAGTATGGCGCTTACCAACCCAGTATGGCGCTTACCAACCCAGTATGGCGCTTACCAACCCAGTATGGCGCTTACCAAGTATAAAACTTAGCCGAGCTGTAAGGAAGAAATGTTTCCCTGTGCGGGTGGTGAGCCCCTGGGGCAGGTTGCCCCGAGAAGCTGTGGCTGCCCCATCCCTGGAGGTGTTCAAGGCCAGGTTGGACGGGGCTTGGAGCAACCTGGGCTGGGGGGAGGTGGCCCTGCCCAGGGCAGGGGGTGGCACTGGATGGGCTGCAAGGTCCCTTCCAACCCAAACCAGTCTGTGATTCTACTCACAACCATGAGAGCCTGCCCGTGTTCCTTGGCTGGTGCTAAAGGAGGTCTTCAAAAAGTGGTCCTCTCTCGGTACGGCAGTCAGCAGTGTGTGCGGTCGTGATTTGAGGGTGTACCATGAGCCTTCTGTGGCAAAGGGCTTCACTTGGCATTGCTACAGCACAACTGGCCCAGTGAAGTCCTAATCCACAGCAAACACACCTACGTTTTCAGGCAGCCACTTAGCAAAGTTAGGACTAACTTGCTCATCCTCACAGGAGTGGTTCAGAGCTGTCATTTAATTGGCACGTGGTTTTGCCCTCTTTTGGAAAAAGCATAAATACAGCTTCGATGTGATTCTCTTAGACTTCTTTGCTTTCTATTGTGCTGAGTTCTCCTCCTCCTGTTTTCCTTCAGAAAAGCCATGCTTCTGCTAAAGAAGAAGCGTTACCAGGAGCAACTTCTAGATAAAACGGAAAACCAAATCAGCAACTTGGAGCGGATGGTAAGCGCGAAGCAGTCGCTGTCGGCTGCGCGTGGCCCTCTGCACGCACTTGGTATAAGTCTTTTTTCTGGGGTGGGTGTTCCTTTTGCTTGTGCGGAACTGCGTTTTACCTGTCAAGTTGTAACAGGGGATTAGTCCTCTGCACGAAGGGCGGATGTCTCCGAAATCACACGTGTGCCACGACTCTCCCAGAATCAAGCGGGGAGTATGGTTTGAGGCTGTAACGCAGGTTATGTATTACATACGTGTTTCGTAAATTAGTGAAACTTTAGTCACAGCGTGGACAGCTGCAGTAGAAGCTTCCCCGGGTTTGCCTCGGTCCCCGATGTCGGGAGTGGATGTGTTTGTTCTGGGGTGGAGACTATGGCCTCGGCTTGGACTGTCCGATGGGAAATGAGTTAAAGGGCTGTTGGATGTGCTTTTGCAGCCGCCTGTGCTGCGGCTTTTTGTGTGCATGTTTTTTATTACTGGTACAATTTAATCCTCTGTTGACTAGAGAAAGGGCTCCTGACTGATTTCTCCTTGCAGTTTCTCAAGAATCTTGGCAGCCTGTATCTGGCTAGCGATGGGAATGTGGCAGCCTGTGATGGGTCCCTTCTCCTTTCTGTTTCAGGTCCAGGATATTGAATTCACCCAGATTGAAATGAAGGTCATTGAGGGTCTGAAAATAGGCAATGAGTGTCTGAACAAAATGCACCAGGTATGTGTGACCGGGTCAGCTGAGCGCGTGGGCTGGGCAGAGTCCTGGGTGTTCGCAGGCGCTGCAGACCTCGCTCACACATGGATTTTTGGTTCTTTTCTTCAGGTTATGTCAATAGAAGAAGTAGAAAGAATAATAGGTGAAACCCAAGATGCTGTGGAGTACCAGAGGGTACGTGCCGTGTGCGTGAGTAGCTGTGAGCAGAGACTGCCTGCTGTGCAGAGTTCCGCTGGCCTGTACTGTGTTCCCAGCCTTATTTCGGAGGTGGTCAGACTGGGAATTAAATCCCAGTTGCCTGCAGAGAAATTAGCTTTGTTAGTTTTCTCAGTACCCCTTTACCCCACGTCTGCATTGCTCTCCCGTGCGCGCGGACCGTGCCACAAGCCACAGAGCTGCTTCTGCTACGCTGCTCTTGACTGGAATGTGTCTCTTCCTCTCTTCCTCAGCAAATAGATGAGATACTGGCTGGCAGCCTGACTGAGGAAGATGAAGAGGCCATTCTAGAAGAATTAAACGCTATTACTCAGGTAGGACTGATGTTCTTGTAAGGACTTTAAATCGCGTTTTCAGGAATCTGTTTGTAAGAGGGGAGAAAGTATCTTTTTCCCGCTCTCAATAGCTTATCTTATTCTGCCAGAGATCTCAATTATACCTGTTTATGCCCAATTATTGTGTCATCAAAGATCAAGCTAATTGCTCCACACACAGGGGTCACTTAAAAATGGGATGCTTTTAAGGGTTGTACTTTATTTGCGGTCTGTTACAGTCAGTTGACCTCTGTTCTTGCTGGGTATCTATTCCACTTGAGCAGATGGAGATCTGGGAAGCCCTGGGTGACGCTCGGATAAGGGCGGTGGGTGTGCGTTACCGTCCCCACACGCCGCTGTGGTGCCTGTGGCTCTTCCAGACACTGCCTGGACTGGGCTCCACTGTAGGAAGTGTGCAGCCAGTGGAGACTGAGGTGGAGAGGGTCTGCAACTAGCATGGATCTGGGGAGACTCGTAGCTCACACAGGGTCCCATTAAGTCTCATTTAATAATTAAAATAACCCTTGCGCTCATTTTCTGGGCAGTCCTGAAGCCCATATCCCTTCCTGCAGTTCTGGGGCAGATGCAAGTCTGTATGTGAAATCTCTTATTAGTCTTCTGTTCCCAGACAGTCTTTGCACAAAAGCGTGGTGCGAGGGTCTGTGACCACCGCTGGTGTGGGGGCTGCGTGTCATGTGTCCTCTCTAATGTTCCTGCAGGAACAGGTGGAGCTTCCAGAAGTTCCTTCGGAGCCACTCCCAGAGAAGACCCCAGGTACGCTTTCTTTGTGTGCTCTGCAGCTTTGCCTTCTCATCCTTCTTCTCAGCTGCATGCGCTGGTCTGAGACGCTCTCCTGCTGTAAGTGTTGTCCTAGCAAATGGGGAAGAGTATAAACTTTCTGGTTTCAAGCCCAGTTGGTGTGGGCTGTGCCAGCTTCCCCCATGTGGCTCTGACAAACCCAGCTGACCCTCACAGTGAGAGGACCCAATGCTGTAGGCTCTTTGTTCAGTCAGCGTCTACTCATTCCTCTTGAAGAGTTCCGTTTAGTTACATCTGCTGTTGTTAAGTCACGCTTTGAACCTGCTGTGAGACCACCACCAGCTGCCTTCAGACACCCACGGGGTGGTCCATTGCGGAGCTCCACGAGGAGCTCCACGCGTGGCCCCGGCAAAGCTCTGACAGCGCTCCAACTGGTCCCCCGCACGTTACCGCGACGTGCTGCTGCGCAGGAACGATTCCCTGTCCCCACGGGTGTTAGCACGCGCGCTGCGCAAAACTGCATTTCACTGAGGTTCGTGACGACTCGTGGCTCTTGTGACCTTTGTTCGGGCAACAACGGCAGTTTTGAACCAGCTGGATGAGGACCGCTGGAGTCCCGCAATTCCAGGACTGACGGAGCGTGAGCTCCGCACAACTGCCGCCACGTGCGTGTGCGCTCCTGAGCGGTCCGCAGCCTCAGCGGCAGTGTGCGCAGCCGGCTGCGAGGGGGCAAGTGGGAGAGAGCTCATGGAGCAGAGTGACCGACCGGGCGCTGTTGGGCTGGTGAGGAGGGAGTCCTCGCAGAGCGGTACGGTGTCTCCGCGCTGGAGAACTGCAGGTTCTGCCCATGGAGACAAGGGGTGAGGCGCAGCTGGGCGCCAGAAGGCAAACTGGTAAAGAGTCTGTCTCCTGGGAGGGCGGAACGCCGAACCGTCGGTCGCAGAAGCCGGACTGCCCTGCTTGTGGGGACCGGGAGCTGTAAGAAGCCGTTTCCTCTGTGTGGAATCTGCCCAGGAGAAATCTGGGCTGTGGGGAACGGGGCTGGTTTCTTTTTAGTGCTTGTTTACTGGTAAACACGGATCAGGTGTCGTCTCTGTCCCTCGGCGGCAGCAGGGTGGCCAAAAAAAACCACCGGCGGCCGCAGCCTCCTCCGGACCCCCGCGCTCACACCGCCGGGGGAGGGGAGAAGCTTCGTCTACCCACTGCCCCCCGAGAAACCGCTCGCTGCCGTGGGTGCGTGTCGCTGGGCTGGGGCTTGCCAAGGCCGTGTTGGGTACGCTCTGAAACGGGTTTAATTCTTTGAGTGCTGTGAAAAAGAGGGGCGTAGTGGATGTGCGGAGTTATTTATAATGAACTTTTTTTGGTTCAGGCGCTGTGCAAGCGGTTGTTGCTCTTCGGAGAAGTGGATTACGAGTCCTGGTTCTTCCGCAGGAGATGACTGGAGATTATTTGCTTTCTCTTTTTCTGTAACAAGTTTCTTTTTCTTCCACAGAAGCGTCGCCTGTCAAGAACAGGCCAAAACCAGAACTGGTGGCAGCGTCTTAACTCCCACTGCTGGGGATTCCCCCACATCATAACTTTCACCCAGGACAGTTTGCCATCCCAGCGTGTGCTGGGAAGAAGCAATGCCTTGGCAGCATCCCAGCTGTGCTGGGCGGATCGTGGAGCAGGATTCCCTGTGCAGGGTGGGGAACCTCAGCTGATTATTGCTCTTGTATCAAGATTATTTTCTAGTGCTTTCTTTTTTTGTAACTTAAATTCGAAACTCACTCAGCTGCGCTGTCTCGGGATTAAACAACAACTCTAAAACTTCCGAAGCCAAATGCTTTCTTTAGGTTTGACTGCAGGGGTAAACCTGCCTTTGCTCCGGCCGCGTCCCCAGGACGTCCCACCCTCGGAGCGGTCGTGTGTTTGGAGCGGCCGTCCCGCGCGTCGTGCTGTGCCGGAACGAGCCGCTGCCCTCGGGAGCCCTCCAGACCCCACTGCTGTCTGCGCTCCTCGTGGTCCCTTTGCTTTTCCTCCCCTGACTCTGTCCGTGGCGGGGCTGCCGGTGCCTCTTGTCCCCATGTCAGCGCGACCGGCGTGTCTGAGGCTCTGGAGGGGCGCGGGCAGAGTGCAGCCAGCCTGAGCTTCCGCGAGCAGCGGCGCTTCGTGCCACGGGTTGAAAACGGTTCTGCCAGCCGTGCGTAAAACCAGCTTACGTGTGAGGGCGTCTCGTTTGAGCAAAGTTCGGAGCGATTGCTTGGCTTTGCGTTTGCTGGCGGCGGCGCTGACTTGGGGGGAAAAGGCCGCTCTCGGCGCGAGGTGCAGCGCTGACCTCTGGCTGGGCGTGAGTTGGAGGCGGTCGCTGACAGTTCCCGTGTGGATCTGCCGGCCTCTGGTAACCCGCGGTGCTGCGTGAGACCTGGGCTGACGGCAATCTGAGGAGCCTCTTAGAATTACAGCGAGGAATCTTCTGCCTGTGTCACGAGCCAGCAGTCATCCCGTGTTGGCTCCGCACCATCGGAGTTCACCTTGGCAACGTTGGGATGGGCTGAAGATCGATTCTGCTCCCGGTTGTCAGCCCGTGTTTGATATTTCCTCGTAGGGTCGGAGACAGGAAAGGTCGGGCTCGTTCTGTACCAGACGTGAGGTGTGAAGCTGCTTAAATCGACGCTCCGAAGACTCTGCCCAATAAGTAGTTGGAGGGGAGAGCAGCTCCTCCGGAGCCGGCGCTGGGGAGGGCGCTGTGGCGCTCGGCGGGGTGCAGCGGGGCGCGCGGGGCGGCACGGCTGAGGAAGTGCTTGGAGAGCTGCCCGGCCAGCCAGGTGGTGGGCAGATTGAGCTGTTCTTGGAAGCAAGCTCACTTGCCAGCTTGCAGATGCTCTTCAGGACACTGCAGATCTTTATTTATTACGTTCTCGAAGCCACAGCCCTTAATCCCCGTTTCTGCGACAGCAGAAGAAGGACCCAGAGGGTCCTTGGAGACTTTCAGTGACTGCCTTTGGGGTTATGTGATCTGGTGCTAGACAACAATAAGTAATCCCAGAGACTGTGCTGCTCTCCGTGTGGTGATGGGCCAGTGGCAGCTCCGGTGTTGAGTCATGCTTTCCGTGTCATCTCCGTTTGTTACGTTCCAAAGACTGGCCGGGGCATCCTCGTCCTCCCGCACATGCCTGTCCCCAAGGCAGCGTGCACCTTGGAGCTGCTCTATTTTCAATTCCACTGCACTCTCTCTCTTAGTTAATGTTCCGTAACGAAGCTGGGGTCCCACAAGCCTTGGGCCCGTGTTTCCTAACCAGTGCAGCTTTAGCAAACTCCCAACTTCCTCTGAAATCGGCAGAGCAGGTTGAAACTGCTCCTCGTGCCTGCGCTGAATGCACCGGTTACCCCGGCCCGTCTTTGGGACAGCCAAACCTTCTCCCGTCCGTCGCAGCCGGGGCGAAGGGACGGGGCCGTGACCCGCTCTGCTCCTGTGGCATTTTCTCCAGTGGAGGCTGCTGCTCCGCGCGGGTTCCATCCTCGCGCTCCTGCAGTGCGCGCGCGTTCCACCAGAGAGAGCTTTGTCTTCGTCAGCGCCGTCTGCAGCATTTTGTGCGACATTTTTCCTTCGAGGCTCCTTCAGCCCGTTGCGCGCCCGCCGTCGGCTCGCTTCATTTTACCCTGTGTAATTTGTAATTCGTAGGAGCGTTTGCCGGACCCTCCCGGTGCGGTCTGGGAGGGACCTTCCCCGGGAGCACGGCCTTTGCTGCCACCGCCGCGGGTGAGCCCTGCGAAACGGGGCTGTGAAACGGGGCCGGCACGCGTCGCCGCGGCAGAGCACCGCGCTCCGGTACCAGCGTCCTGGCAGCGAGCGAGACGCGAGCCCACCCTCCCCGGGGAAGCTGTGGCAAAGCGGTGCCGCGTCCCGGTGCCGGCCGGGGAGCTGAACGCCCGGCACTGCCTGCGCACTCGGGGGGAGGATGGTCCAGAGAGGGAGAGGGGTTCGCGCTGAAGGGGTTAACGCAGCTCCTCCTTTGTTAATACAGTAACGAGGCCATTTACTGCACTAACAGGAAAGTTTGGAGCACGTTGCCAGCAGCTTCCTCTTCTAATCCCTGCACCAAACAGATTGTACTGTGTCTCCTTGAGAGGAAGAGCCAGGAGTGGTGTGTGACCTCTGTGGTGTGCTGTAACAATAAACTGTTTCTAATGGTTTCACCCATTCCTCTTCCAGCCTGGTGTTTTCACAGTAAATGTTTTGGATGAGCAAGAGTTGCCTTCCTCCTCCTTCCCCTTCTTACTGCCTGCTCCTGGGAGAGACGGGGGCAGGAAATTTCAGAACAGGCTCCGTGTGTCATAGAAAAACAATCCCCTTCGCCGGTGTGGCTGAGGAACGCTCGTCTGGAACCGGCAGCGGCGCTGCCCCGGGAGAGTCGGATAGCGGGGAGCCGGGGGGACATCTCGGAGAGAGCGTATGCGCTGTGTCACTGCTGCGAAGGCGGCGCAGCCCCTGTCTGTGCCGCAGTCCCCTCCCCGAATGCCCCTCATCGCCCAGGAGTCGGGCAGGGACCCTCAGGGCTCCCCGGAGGAACGGCTCCCGGGGGAAAAGGGCTGTCCTGGGCGGCAGGAGAGAGGGGACGGACCCCAAGACCAAGCAGGGGGGATGTTTGGAAAGGCAGCAGTCCTGCCCCTGGGTTTGCAATGAAGCTGAATGAGGGTTGTTTTTTTCTTTTTGCAAGAATTATGCTGGGATTGTTGGCAAACAGAGCAATAACCAGTCTGCACCTGGCTGCTGGACTCGCAGAGCGTGGGGCTCCGTCCCGCTCGTGGCCGTGGTGTCCTGCCGCTGGCTGGGCTCTGGTTTCCCCTCCCTCGGCAGGATTTTTGGCTTCCAGCTCCGGGGGGTGTCCAACTGCCCCAAGCAGCCAACAGAGACCCCCTCTGGGCAACCGTCACCCCCACCAAGTGGGCACAGGTCTCGAGGGCACCGTTTGTGGGAGCAGTGCTGTAGAGCGGCACCACCTTCACGCTCCATCCTCGAGAGTGCCACCACGGGTCCGGGACAAGGGACCCTCACCAGGGATGTCTCTGGGCCACCCACTGGTGCTTCGACACCCACTCGTTCCTCATTAGTTTGGATTTACGTCTCTCCTGCTGATGGGAGCAGTGGGATGCCTGTGGGTCGCTCCCTCCTGGGCCACCGGACCCTCGGTGGCCGCTGAGCCCCCCGGTCCCATCCCCGCTGGAGGAGGTGCCGGGGGGTCCCGTGTCCCTGGGAAAGCAGCTGTGCCGTGTTTAACAGTGTTTAATTAACACTCCCTGTACCCGCTCAGCTGTGGCAGCGGGGTGGGAGCCGGCACCCCGCAGCGTGAGCCGAGCACGGAGCTCTTCCAGCTGTGTTTGAGTTGGCCAGATGTTTAGTTAAGCAGAGGAGTGTCCTCCCTCAAAGAAAGTCGCTGAGGCAACATCGCTGGTTGCTAATTAAACCCTGGAGAATACAGGCAACCCCACGCTGCTTCCTCCGCTGCCCCCACGCAGCGCCCGGAGCCCCCCCGGTGCCCCCGGCCCTGGCACGGCCCCGGCTCCTTGCCGGAGGCGCCGGTGCGGTTTGAGCCACCGGACAGACACCGCGGCAAACCCGCCCCTCACGGCCACAGCAGGCGGGAAGGTGGCAGCGAGGTTCAGTCCCTTAA